AAAAAAAAAAAAAAAAAAAAAATCTCTAGAAGGATGGAGGTTGTCATGACAACACACCTGAAGCATCCCTCAAAGAATTTAACTGGACTGCACCCAATTATTATGCATCATCATGATTCTGCTTCCAAACCATCAAGAGCTCTTTATATTCATGTGTTTGAAACCTCCACACTCCAGCAGTGATAGTTTTATCATCCTGAGGCTTTTTGGAGACGAGAGCCGCAGCAACTAGTTGTGAACAGATAATGAAATAGCAACTATTTTGATACTCTATGAAAGTTTTATTTTACATTTGTAGCTTTGCATCCTTGTGAATTCTTTTCATGCACATCATTTCCTTGTGTGAATTAACGCTACATCTTTTTCACTGCTCTCTGTCCACAGGCGGAGTGTCCTCCAACCACTGCTGGTTAGTGGAAGGCAGCAGGCAGAGAAACTATCGACCGTTGCTGGAGCGTCCGTGCTGCGAGAGCCTGGAGTCCAGGATAGACCACTTTGTCAAAAGAGGCAGACTGGAGCGGGAGGAAGGCGAAGACGGAGGTGAAACGGTCCACAGAGGGAAAAGGTCCAAGCATTCCCACAATTCCTCCACCGTGCCTGTTTCTGCAGAGCTGCCACCGTCGAAGCAAAGTGAAGAAGACTGAGATTTTTCAGTCTGAAAAAAGACACATTTTATTTCAAGCCAAAGCATTGTTTTTTTTCCCATTTTCATTCAGGACACTAAACAGTGGATTTACATTCATAGATTCTGTCTGTTTCCTACAGAAGCTTATTGGATTCAGTAGAGAAAAGAATTCTGCTGTTTTTTAAATTATTATGTCAGAATTCTAAGAAAGTTTTTCATGAGGGGAAAAAAATAAGCTGTCGTTTTAAGAATGAACAATATAGCCGAACTCAAAATCCCAAGAGAAGTTCTCATTTTAATTTGGGTCTGAGTCATTGGAAGATACTATTTTGTGTTTTTAAGTAATATATGACTTTGTTATTAGTCTGTCAGCAGTTTACACAGGCACCTCAGGACTTTGGGATTGTTTAGACAGAAACTACACAGATTTTGATCCATGTCTTTAATTCAGAACAAACAGCAGATTTGTTTCTTGTGAAAAACTTTCTCAGATTTATGACATAATCTCTCCTGAAGTCCCAAAAGATGGTATTTTTTTATGTTGTCCGCTCGAGATAAATAAGTTCCGCACACAGAGTTGATATCTGCAGAGTAAAATCATGACAGGCCGATGCTTTGACGACAACACCAAGTTGAATTTAAAGCTTTTATTATGAAGAGCAACAAGAACTTTATTGTGTGACCATTCTGGGTGAAAATACAACTTTGGCTTTGAGCGTCTGAGTCGTTAAAACACAAACATCTTAAAATAAATATCTTGTGTGCACAAGTTATCTTGAAAAATCAAGATAAAAAAAGATCTCCTGGGACTTCAGGGCCGCTCTAGTCTAAAGACATAATAATCTCTCATTTTTCTTCCATGCAAATATTTATTTTGTATTCAAATAAACCTGTTTTGGAGAAAGTTCCTGTCTGCTCGGTTTATCAGCGGGGCGGAACTCATGTCAAACCATGAGGGGGACGTGGGAGGATTTCTGATGTGGCGCTTGTGAAGCTAAGCAGCTAGGTGGTTAGCAGCCCGTGGAGAGCAGCTCGGAGTGAAACACGCAGTTTCCAGTGACACGGACCCGAGCAGCTTCCTCACCCGACTGTTAACGAAGTGACACAGAGAGAACATGTCCGCTGCTTCGTGTGTTCGAGTCGTTTTCGTCGCTCTCACGTGATAAACACGCATGCTAACGTTAGCCTGTTAGCAGCCGTGCTTGTTTACCGTGTCTCTGCACGGATCCGCTGTAGCTCCGGCTGCTCTCAGGAGGCTGTCGTGTTTGCAAAGGTAAAGAAACCAAACCAGCAACAGACACACGTCAGTAACAGACGGAGCTCAGCCTGCGGACACTTGTTTCTGTTCTGGCTGCTTCAGATTTAACTTCCTGTTAAAGCTCGTGAGGTTTGACATTAGTTATGGGGTTAGTTTGTTATTGATGACGTCACAGTTCACCAATCAAACCAGTTTGACTCGTGACACTTTACCAGCAGTTTGTATTTTACCATGTTTTACATTAACTGGGTGCAGTTCCATACTTCCACAGCAGGGGGCGGGCTGTCAAACATAAGAGGTGTGACTGTAAGCATGTAACTCAGACTTTTATTGTGAAAATATCCAGCTGAGAAAAGTAACTTTTACTCCACTTACTTGTACTTTTACTTTATTATTTTCATTTTGGGGCTTTGTACTTCTACACTACTCTTTTTAATGGTCAATTATGTACTCCAAGACATTTGTCAATATAAGTATTTGCAGTATTCACTCAGATAATGAATACTTAAATCAATACATTAATAATGATTCGGTATATTTTGGTGAAAGTAATTAAATATCCCCCAATCTTAACCATAATATTTACATTTATTCTGAAGTGGACCATTTCAGGAGTACTAAAATAAATGTTTACTGTTAGATAATTAGTCTTTTTGAACTACTTCTTAAAGTTTTGAGTACCACTGGAAATATCTTTTATCATGTTATCTATCTATAGCTTTGGTTTTTGTTAATGTGAAATTGTAAAGATTTTGTCTTGAATTACTTAAATATCCTGTTTATTTGTCTGGTAGTGTAACTTTTATTTATTATAACTTGTCGTGAGATGTGCCGTCACACGAGTTTTACATTTCCTTTCTTTATTCAGCTGTTTTGCTCTAACCAGTACTGGCGTGACTTTGATGCAGCTCTCTGTCGTTGCTTTAAGATGTTCCTGGTGGGGCTGACGGGAGGAATCTCCTCAGGGAAAAGCACAGTGTCTTTGATGCTGCGGGAGCTTGGGTGCCCCATTATCGATGCCGACGTTGTGGCCAGGAAAGGCAAGTGAATATTTTTCTTCTTCAACACAAATTCAGTTTAAATACTAAAATTAATTTGTCCACCTTAGATAAGATAAGAAATTTAAATGTCCTCCTGCTTTATGTAATGATGACTTTTACTGTTGCTATCATTGTTATAGTTCTGGTTAAATGCTGTAATAGACATAAGGGGTTTAGGCCTGTAGGAGGTTGATTGAGACGAATGCTTGGAGAGTTTGCATGAGTCATGAGGTCTCTGCTGACTGCAGGGATGATGTTTCAATTACGTGATGAAGATTAAAAAGGTCACAGAACTGGGTAGAGAGTGCACAGCTGCACGTCGGAGAAAATGTGAGGCATTAGGATAAAAATTTAATTACAATCAGGTGGCTGATGAGTCTGTTAAATATAGTTTAAGGTGTTTTTCTCTCCCTCTTTCTACCTTCTGTATTTCCTTTTCAGTTGTGCATTTAACGTCTTTTACTAACTTGTTTTCGTCACTTATCACAAGTCATGTTACACTGGTTAATCAAAAACAATGATGTATTGATACCATACAGTCGTGGAGCCCCACACTACTGCCTACTCTCGCATCGTCTACCACTTCGGGCCAGAGATCCTGCTTGAGAATGGGGAGATTGACAGGCAGAAGCTGGGTCAGCTCATCTTCGCCAACGAGGAGAAAAGGAAGCTGCTGAACTCCATCACCCACCCGGAAATCCACAAGGCGATGCTCAAAGAGATCCTCTTCTACTTCCTCAGAGGTGAGCGAGGAATTGGGTTCGGCTCAGTTATAGGTTGACACAGGGACGGGAAAGGAGGATTAGTTAGTGAGAGTGAGTCAAGTCTGTTTGGCAGCAGAGGGGTGGGCGGTAGCCAAGAAGTGAGATACAGAATTTCAGAATATTCCCAACATTTCATCAGGTAGAAGGTGAAAGTCAAACAACCGAAATCATAACTTAAAATAAAAAAAGAAATACAACTTTCACTTGCTACAAAACTAAACAAGAGAAGGAACGTCTTCTAAGTGTTTTAGTTTCAACCAGATTAAAACTGGAATTTTCTCATAAATCACTTCCTCTTTGCTGCAGCAAAGCAGTTGTGCTGTTTTTAGAACGGCCACGAATAAGTGATTTCTGGAAGTGTAGTCAGCAAATTTCACACTTAAAATTCCTACAAGCAAAACAGAGACACGCCAGACTCAAGTTTCGAGCTATTTAAAGAAAGTAATAGTCGTGTATTCCCACATAACACAAACAACAGTGATAGAAACCATCTCTTCCACACAGTCAGTCACATGTTGCTGTTAAAATACATTAGAAAATGTATTTTCTGAAATGTACTGGTATCCGATTGGCCCATACAGGTGTCCAGGTCTAAGTAATCAAGAACATTTTGCTTAAAGTTAACTTCTAAACAACGACTTTAATTATCTTGATTAGTTATTAACTTGGTCGTGTTAATAATATCCTCACAGTGTAGATGTTAACGTGTTGAGACACATTCATCCTCGTTCACAATGCTCCACCGTCTCCTCAGGTTATCGCTATGTCGTGCTGGACGTGCCTCTTCTCTTTGAAACCAGACGTCTCACTCAGTTTTTGAACCACACTGTTGTGGTCTACTGGTAAGACCACCACTCATCTTTCTCAAACCCGCCCCCCTCATCACTGCAGAGATTCACCTCTAGGATTCATACTTTGAATCATTAAACTGTGTGACAGTTTGTTTTTGACAGACTCTGGCCATTAGGGGCAGTTTTTAATATTTATATTAGTTATCCGTTACCTGTCTTCCTCTCTCGTCACCTTATTAGCATGACTCACTGCCTCTGGATATTTTAACAAGGCACCCTGGCTGCACCATAAATAACCTCCATTGTCGGTTCCTTTTCAGTGACCCTGCCACTCAGCTATCGCGCCTGATGCAGAGGGACGGCCTGACCCAGGAGCAGGCCGAGCAGCGCATGGCGGCACAGATGCCGCTGAATGAAAAGCGCGGTCTGGCCAATCACGTTATCGAGAACTCGGGCAGCCGGGAGGACACCCACCGGCAGGTCCTGCGGCTGCACACAAAGCTGGAGGACTCCATGGACTTCCTTTTAGTGAGGGTCGTGGCTATCGCTGCCACCACTGGTCTGAGTGGGATTCTGCTCTATGCTGCCAAGATCCTTTTATCTTAACAGAGGAAGTTGCAGCTGTAAAGGGGTTCGCTCCCAGATGTGGTCAAAGATGAGGATGTGAACAGAAGCAGGCAGGTCGGAGGTAATGATGCAAATTACTGTGAGATTAGTTTCACAGTGCCCATCACTGCAGCTCAGTGGTGTGACGTGCACTGATTAACACAGACTCACACTGTTGACATAACATATAGTGAGAAATTGTTGTTTGGTGTGAAAGGTTTCTATGTGCAATTTCTGTGGGGTTTTACTGTGAGACACTAAAACATGAAGGTGATACTGTACAAGCTCTAATTTACAACCTGTGCCTAGTTACACGAGAGCTGCTCTCGACAGTGACGGCAGATCAGAGCTTAAAAAACGGGCTAAAGCTTAATTGTAATGTAGTGTTCAACACGTTACTTCTATTTGTTCAACCATGACGTATGATAGATTATAGACAGGATGAGATTCTCTTTGGTTGCACCGAGAGACTTTATATAGAAGTGGACGCCATGACAGTACCCCCAAAAGCGAAGCCAAGTCATCTGGATCGCCCTCTGGTGGTTGGCTGCAGTATAGGACCCTGCCTCCTCCATGCTAGCAGATGGAACAAAGGTCACATAGGAGTTCATGTTTCAGTTAGTTCGGTTTCAATTAGTTATTTGATTCTATAAATACCGAGTGAAGCGTCATGATCGACAGCTGAGGCTGACTCCCTGTTGGTCGAGAGCGTGTACGAGCAAGACCTTGATACTGTGGCTGCACCCCGAAAAACGTGGTTATTTTAACTACATTTTTGTGGGGTGAGGAAGTGAAGTCCCTCTTTATATACGGTCTAAGGTTACGCCTTTTAAAGCTGCTCAAATACATTTTGGGTGATTGCATAGATTAAATAAAAAGTGATGGAGAGAAGATGGAAAAAGTAAAAGATTGTAGTCACTGAAGTTTCTGTAGTTTTTATTCATCGTGCACAACTCTCATTTAGTATTTTAATGCAGGATAATGTGATTTAAACTGGATACTCTGATAGAAAATTGGGAAATGCTGAATATGAAGGATGTGATGATTATAGAATATGTGATGATTGTATGATCATGACTGTATAATGAATATTGACAGAGGATATTTGACAATCCATTTTTAATGGGAACTGAGTGACTTTCCACAAAATATATTTCTCACGGTATTTTCTTACACTTGAAGCTGTCCTCTGCAAATAACCTGTAATGTTTTTCTTTCAGTGCACACTCACCTTAACATTTGTAATGTTAGCTGCTAAAATGTAAACATAAATGATCCAACACCACTGATTTAAAGGAACAACTATCAGATAGTGTCGGTGTGTTTTTCTGAATCCTCTGAACAAAATGATTCCCAAATATCAGCACAGCACATTAATGTCAACACACACCAGGTCGAGATGACTCAACACAATAATGTGTCGACATTTTCTGCCAAAACTACCATGTGTCTCAGTGAGTAACAAAGATAAACCAAAATACACAGGTTAATGTTAAATTCTGTGATAAAAGTCATTGAGGATATGAC